GGAAAACGTCCTAGCTAGGTCAGCAAAGCCAACCACACTTGGATGTTCAGAGCTGTACTCAAGGCTACCAATAGTGAGTCAAGCCAACATGAGTCAGCTTGTCTTCCCACTTGCACCCTCTTGCAAGTTGCTTCCAGGAAGACCACACTTCTCAAAAGGAGGGTTATAGAGTCCCACTTGACCACCTGTACTTCTTGTCTCATTCTCTGTCCCTGCACCATTGGCATGACAACAATGAAAGGGCGGCAAGGGAAATGCTGCCAACAGTGCACCATGACTACGGAACAGTGAATTTCGGCAGCTGTCACGCAATGCTCAGATGTTGGATCGTTCTGAAACTTGGTGACCACTTGCACAGCGGGGCAAAGGACTGCCAGACCGAATTTCAGACCAATCAGATTTCGGTTGACGAGTCAGCAGCCGAAATGGTGAACTCGGGTGTTACCAAAAAGGAGTAACACACACTTCCGGGATGCCATAAGTCTTGAAACATAAAATGTTGTCATGCCTTGGTAACTGCTTCAAAAACTCTGAAACATTGAGGGTTTGAAGAAAACGTGTTGAACAACCTCCCCACAAAATTCCAGAAGCTGAGCAGGCTTGTAGGCCGAATGGGAGTGCGATGACCGTGCCACTGTAATGTGTTGGCACAACAAAGTTGAGCCGCCGTCAAAGATGGCAGCAGTCCCGGCAGCGCACCCGAGCGCCTCCAGCGCCATCTCCGTCACCTCAGCCGCCGCAGCCGCATCCTTCTCCACCAACGGCGGCACCCCGGGCCCCACAGCGGCAGCAGCCTCCTCCAAACCAGATACCACTACCCCAGCCTCAGATGTATCAGCCGCCAAATCCCCATGTGCTGCCAATCCCTCTCGTCCCACCAGTCCCTCATGCTGCTGCTCCTGCTACCGCGACGCCTCTCCACGTCGAGCAGCGCGTAATGCACGTGGGGACGTGCTTGACGTTGCTGTCGTACGTCTTGGACCAGCTCCACGTGTGTTTGGCGCGTCGAGGCATGGAGGTTGGGGGGATGCTACCGTCGGAGCGGTCGGCGGCGATGGCGGCGGCAACGGACATGCTGCATTATCTCCCCTTGGTCGGTTTTTTGCCGGGCGCCCCTGGTGCAGCACTCGGGCCCGGCCCCCGAGCGATGGTGAGGCTCGCTGAGTCCGCCCGAGAGGCCCCCCTCGGCCTTGTATCAGCAGTCGCATCCGTCCTTCGCTGGATGGACGGGGGGTTGTGCTGGATCCTCTCCGAGTAGCTGGTTTTTCTCCCTTGCAGGCTCCTGTAGTGCTGGGCCTTGCCTTGGGCTTCCCCATGGCGGAATCTCCTTGCCTAGGGGTGTTGTTATTGTCTAAACTTGCTAGTGGCCCCTGTTGTACCACATCCTATTATATGTCTTGTGTTGCTTCTCCCCTTGCCACCCCTCACGCGCGGCCGAAGGCCGCGCTGGCAAGCGTTGGCCGCCGAAGGCGGGCGGCGCGAGCCGCCGGATTTGGAGAGTGAACCTAACTCACCAGTGAATAATGAGCTCCATAGCCTAGATCCAGGGCCTTTATACTAAGGAAAGTGGCCTAGGAATGGCTAAGGACTAGATCCTAGAGTAGAGAGGACTAGAAATGGCTAAGGACTAAGACTATGCCATCTCTCTCTCTCTCTCTCTCTCTCTCTCTCTCTCTCTCTCTCTCTCTCTCTCTCTCTCTCTCTCTCATGGTCCGTGTATTGATATAGTAGCAAAGTACAGACATGCAGGTCTCTCTCTCTAACTCTCTCTCTCTCTCTCTCTCTCTCTCTCTCTCTCTCTCTCTCTCTCTCTCTCACTCTCTCTCTCTCTCTAATGGTCCGTATATTGATAGGTCAGAAAGATACACACATGCACGGTAGGGAAGGGCAGAAATTTCGAGACAACAAAGATCCTATCCAATTCACACTCTAGAGCTCTAGAAGAGGCTCTACTACTGCAAAACAATCCCCGAGGTGCAGCTCATGCCCACTGCCTCCCACCGGAGGGTTCTCTGCTGCCGCCGCCTCACCCAACTTCATTAAGAGTCCCACAGATTGAGCCCTTTGCACGGCCACTGACCATCGCTGCCGGAACTGATGCAGGAACTTGGCGGCATAGAAGGATTTTGAGTCGGCGTTGAAGTGCCACCGAGCCGCTGAGTCTGCAAGGAGCTTGAGGAAGATGGGTACCTCCGCGCACGGGCAGCCGTAGGTGTCCACTGCTAGAGGGAAGAAGCCTACCGTCTCCGGGCGGTTGGCATAATGCTGAATCTTATTGTCGGCTTGTTCACGCGCCGCCCATCCCCTGAATTTTTTAGCCTCCGGGTCTCTGGTGCTTATAGGATCTGTGACGGTGACGTCACATATGTAAACTGCCCCGCTGCTCCTGTCCGACATTGTGAAATCAGTCGTTTGCTCTTCGATGGGTCAGTAGGCGGTGGACTCCCGGTGAACTATAAAACCCGCATCCTGCGCCATGCTAACGCAGGCGTCCCGCGGCTCATTGTGAATGTTTATGCGGTGCTTGCCCATGCCGGAGCGAAGCAGGTGATTTGGGAGGCGGGGGTCAGTGATGGCCGTGTGCTCCGAGCAGTCACAGTTCTTGGGGGTTGAGAACGGCAATGCAAGTCGGAAGCGTACTGCGTTAGCGAAGTGTACCGGCCCAATCCGTCTCGTGGGATCGACTGGGATCATCGTGATCCAGTCGCCGGTGCCGTAGCCAGTCAGGGAATACATCCGTTGCGTGTGTCCCGCGAGTGGATGCAGCCGCATGCGCCTCGTCGCCTGTACCTGCACGGCGTATCTACTCCCATGCACCTTAAGTCCGAGCACGTGCTGGAGCCGGATGTCCGATCGTTCCAGCCGCTCCTTTTCTAATGTCTCCCGTGCATCTGACGGTAGCGCCTCCTCACACTCTGTCAGCCAAGCGTGCAATCGCGTGGTGCTGTCCCGCGGCAAGAGCATGTGATTCCGTGCCACAGTCAATGCGTTCTCGTCTCCTAGCAGGAGTTCGTTAAGGAGGAGCGCCGCCTGAGTGAAGCTCGCCATGAAGCCGTAAATCCCCTCAATGAGGGGGTCCGTGACGCCCAGGCCTCCTAGTGACGGCGGTAACGTCGCCTGCTCCCAGACCCGTGTTTGCTCAGTTCTGCATGTCGGCATGCGGATATCGCAAGAGGTAAGGAGCGTGGTGAGCAGGTCCATACCCCACTGGCTCCGTCTATCTCGGGGGAGGAGGTGCAGGGGCGTTGTCCTTGTGAGGTATGCGACACGCCTCGAGATACATCGCGTAATGAGCAGTGCCGCCACCTGCGGATCCGCCCGTTCTAGAAGTGTCAGTGACTTCGCCATCTCTTCGAGCTGCTTTGCTAGGAATGTCGACGCGCCGCTATCAGGCCCCATAAAGCTACCTAGTAGCCGTATGCCGTCCTTTGAGAATGGTATTCCTGGAGGGAGGGTGGCTGTCTCTGGCGCACTCGAACTCCATGCAGCACATTTTTTAGGGTTGTGCTCGAGGCCCAAGTGTGCCAACTTGGTCGTGAAGTGAGTGAAAGCTGCTACAGTGTGCCCTACGTCACCCAAAAAAGTCACGTCGTCCGCATACGCCAAACAGAGCACGTCGGGGTGCGCGTCTGCGGTTTCACAGAGTGTGGCATGCATCCCTGCCGCAAACAGTAACGGGCCTAGTGGGTCTCCCTTGCGGACTCCGCGTTCACTTCGCAGTGGGTCGGTGTTGAAATTGACATCCAGGATCAGCTGCGACGGGTTACCGTAGGTTAATTTCACTAGCGGGAGCAGTGGCGAGAGGGCGGGGGCTTGTAACGAAGTGGCAATGGCTTTTCGCGAAATGCTGTTGAACGCGTTCGAGATGTCCGCTTGCAGAACCAGGCTGGTGGGGCGGGCGTCCAGGAAGGCTTTGGCTGCGTGGATTACTGCCTCGGCTCCACCTGGCACTGCCACGCCGTACTGTAGTGGTAGAAAAAATTCACGTGCAGCCTCTCCCATGGCTGACAGGGCTGCCTTGGCAGCCAGCCTCGTCAGGCATTCACCGATAGCGATTGGCCAAGGCACCTCCTCGTGTGCAGCAGGGGGGTGTTTTTGGCGCAGCTCTTCCAAGATTTCGGGGCTGGGAGTGCAGACGGGCGTTGACTCCAAGGCGAGGACAGCTCGTCGCAGGCTGCCACGTTTCGCCAAACCCTCAGCTCGGTTGATCACCCCGGTCGCATCGGGCTGGTGTCGTGGCGGTGGTGGCGCGTTGACTGCGTCCACCGCGTCCAAGTACAGTTGCTCCCATTCGCCACGCTGGAAGGCTCGGAGCCGGGCTTTGATTTTCGGCCAGTCCGGTCGTTGTGGCGAGGTTTGGCGAAGAGTCAGGCGCGGGAGAAACAATAGCAGACGCCAACCAGTCTCTGACTCAGGGTTTCATGAGAGGTGTAGTAACAGTGTGAGTAACGCCAGCGAGAACAGCTGACACAAATTTGGCGGTAAGCGCCTTGACAGCGAAGGCTGACGACTGTCGCATGAAAGCCTTGACGTCCCAATTCCCGATAGCAGAGAACAAATCTGTTCGCTTCGCCAAATCGTCAGATGAAAATAGCGGGGGGTCGGAGCGGGTGGGCGTGTCGCAACACCTGCAGTCGCGGTCCGATTTCGATGAACACGGCCCGATCGCGCCGGAGAGACAGATAATGGAAAGTCCACCGTCCGATCGGCATTGGGCGGTATGTGTGCCTCCTGGGGCGTTTGATCACGAGTTTGCCTCACCCCTGCTTCCCTTCTCCCTGAGCCTTCTCTCGCCCCACCTTCCTCTTCCTCTGCCTCATCGTTCTCGCTATCAGGTGTGGGCTCCTCCCTATAAGAGGGATCCCGCAGCTCGTCCTCGTCATTAGCTGCCTCCAGATTGTTTAAAGCTACCCGTGCCGCCACTTGGTATCCGTTCTCTGGACCTCCGTCGATCCCGCTTACTGTTCGCCTTTCCGCCCCGCGACTTTCTCGCGCCTGCGATGGTGATTGCCGGAGCTCCTGAGCCAGCCCCAGAGCTCGTTGCCGCCTGGTCGGCTGTCGTTGCCAAGCCTCCGTCGGGGCCCGAAAGGGTGACCATGGCGACGAAGCCCCCTTTACCGCCGGCTCCGCATCCCGTGACAACAGACGCTGAAAAGACTCTTCCCCTCGTACCCACGGAGCCCCTTGGTGTGAGCGGGACGGGCCCGGCTGCCCGTGTTGCTGCTCCGCCTGCTCCGGCTGCTGCTCCTGTTCTTCTCGCTCCCTTGGTTGCGCCGACGGCGTCCGCTCCTGAAAAGGAAGTTGCTGATCCCCCTGTTCCGGCCCCTGGCGCACCCATTGCACCGGCCGCTTCTGTCCCCGACGTGCCTTCGCCGGTGTCCGATTCGTCCCCGAAGGCGGCGTCCGCCACCACTGGCGGCCGGGCCCCGATGGTTGAGACTCCAGCCGTGGACCCAACTGCACCCGCTGTGCTGCCGATGGCCCCGATAGCGCAGCCGTCTCGTCCCCCGTCGCCAGACCGCCGCCTATCCCGCCCCCATTCTCCCACACCCCAGCAGGAGCGCGAATCGTCGCGGCGCCGGCGCAACTCTCCCCGGCGTTACCAGCAGCCGGCTCAATGGCCTGCTCACCCTGGTGGCAATGGAGGCTGGAGGGGTCCCCGCGGGCGTGGTGGTGGTGGGGGATACTGCCCGCCTGTGAAAATGGCTGATCTTCAGCGGGAGGTGTCGAGGGCCGTGCGTGAGGAGAGGGCGGCGCAGAGCCAGAGCAGTTCACTGCGGGCCGTTCCAGCGCACGTGGCTCCTCGTCAGGCTGTGCCTCCCGCGGTCCCTCCGCCAGCTGCTGCACTTCCTCCTCCTGTCCTTGCCCCATCGGCTCCTGCTCCTGCTGCCTCAGCTGCTAATCCTGGGTCACGTCTTCGCCTGCCGCCCGTTCCGTCGGTGGCGGGTGTCGAGTTCGTTCCTCCTGGTGGAGGGGCGGTGGGGGCGCAGTACCCTCCATATCTTGCTGCTGATGAGCCGCTTCCATTCTTTGCGGTGGCACTTCAGCCTCCGCAGACCCGTGTTCCTAAGGCGACGCTCGGCCAGCTGCACCGTCTTGCCGAGAGCCTTCACTCTCTCTCTTTCTCTCTCTCAAGCAGTCCTTCATTGATGTACATATAAGGTACAAGCAAAGCAACAGCAATCCTAGCAAGCATGGTGGTCTAGGCCCACACAAATTCTAGAATGACCGTAGTCACATACAATGCATTCGTTGGGCCTGTCTGCCACGCCGAGCTGCATAGTCACTGCATCAGTTCTCAAAGCTGCATCCCTGCTGGCCTGCCTAACCTCCTGCAGAGCTCCCCAACCCCTACCCCCTTCCCAGCCAAGGAGAGCCTCCTGCGGTTGGGCGGGCCACCAGGGGTTGGCCCGGCCCTCTACTCACCGAAGTCCAGTAGCTGGGCCAGGTCATCCTCAAGGACCTGCCACAGGTCCCCGAGGCTTGGTTCCCACGGGTCCGCCGCTGCCTGTGGGTGCGCTGCCTCAAGTGCCCTGTTGGACTTGGCCATCAGGGCATTTGCTTGGCAGCGCTGGAGCATCACCGACCACCGCTGCCGGTAATGTGCCGTGATTCTGGAGGCTACAGTAGTTAGCCTCCCCTGTCTGTGCTTCTTCTTAGCAGCCTGGGTGCCCAGGAGGCGGAGGAACCGTTGGGTGTCCCTAGCTAGGGCTCCGTAAGTTTCCACCGCCAGACCGAACACCCCTACAAAATCCGGGCGGCCCTCATACAGGCCCCGCTTCACTCTTGCCGCGTCCTCTGCCGCCCACCCCGGTGCCTTTACCGCTCTCTTGTCACGCCGCTGCATGACAGGGTCCGTGATCGTCACGTCAGTGACATAGGTCTCGTTGGACTCCTTGTCACGAATCACCAAGTCCGCTCGCTTTTGGTTGGTTATAGGCGAGAAGGCCACTGACTCGTGCAAGGTTGTGTAGTCCGCTTCCTGAGCCATCCGGAGCGCCGCAAACACCAGGGCGTTGTGGGCCCTCCATCGGCACACCGCAGTAGGTGGTTTGGCAGGCTCCTATCCCTGATGTCTGACCGCTTCCCTTTGCAGGGACACTTTTCCGTGACCGCCACGGGCAGACCCAGCCGGAAGCCGAGCGCCACTGCAAATTGACCGGGTGAGAAAGTGAGGTCCCCTCTCGTGGGGATAGCATGCAACCAATCTCCCGTCCCCACCCCTTGCAGGCTGATGAGCCGGATCACGTGTCCGTTGTCGGCTCCAGGCTTGTCCACCCTCGTGTCCCCCACGAGCTCGGCCGCCCTGTCTAGGTTGATGTGCTTTGAGAGGATCAGCTGCAGGTGCCCCTTTACCTCCCCCTTCTGGTGGTGCGCCTTCAGGACCTCCCGAGCCTGCTCTGGGAGCCGGTTCCGAAGGTCCTGGAGCGTCACCCCTCCCGCCGCTACCCCCTGAATTCCTCCCATTGGCGACACCAGGTCTGTCACCTGCTGCAGGGGGTTGCCTGCCGCCATCGCCGTGTGCCTGAGGAGAGTGTTTGTTGCGTGTAGGGAGGCCAGGTATGCTGCCGGTGCCTCGGAAAGCGGGTCAATCAGCCCCAAGCCCCCGAGGCACACCGGTAGCGTTGCCTGGCGCCAGACCAGGCTCTGCTCCAGTTCGCTCGTAGGGGCGTGCATCTTTGCCGCTTTGAGAGCTGTCCACAGCAGTTCCTCACTCCAGTCCCTCCATTCCACCAGTGGTAGTGTGTCAGCCGGGGTTGTTCGGAGCATGTAAGAGACGCGTCGCGACACACATCTCGAGAGGAGGAGTGCGTGCTGTGGGTGTAGTTTGCCGATGAGGTTCAGTGGCACCGCCACCGTGCTCAGGGTCGTTCGTATGGTCCTCCTCCCGTACTCTCTGGTCCCCACAGGGCTCCCCAGCACCCGTATCCCGTCGATCGCCGCCACCAGCCCCTCAAGGAGTACGTCCGAGCAACCTGCCGGGCACCACGCCGAGGACTTCTCTAAGTTGCATCGTGGTCCGCACTTGCGTAGCTCCTCCGTGATGACGTTCACTCCCTTAATCGCCTCCGCCGGAGCGCAGATGATTGTGATGTTATCCGCGTACGCCACTACCACCGTCGTGGGGCACATCGCCGCGGCCCTCAGTAGGGTTGGTTGTATGGCCGCCGCAGAGAGCATTGATCCCTGTGGGTCTCCCTGACCACACCTCGAGCGCTCTCGATGTACCGTTCGTCGAAGCCCGGATCTAGTAGGAGGCGGGCCGGTGAGCTATACAGCGTGCGAACTAACGGTAGAAGCGGCTCAAGCGCTGTCCATTTGAGTGCCATGAAGAAACTCCCACGTTCTACGGAGTTGAATGCGTTCTCGACATCCAGCTGTATTGCGATTCGAGTTGGGGCGTCCGTCAGCAATGCTCGGGTAGCGTGTATCACTGTCTCTGCTCCTCCGGGTACTGCCACGCCGAACTGGACTGGGAGGAAGAACTTTCGGATATCGGGCGAGAGCTTCCGCAGCGCCGTTTTTGCCGCTAGCCGCGAGACTTTCCTGGACGCTCGGTGGGTTCTCTCTCTCTCTCTCTCTCTCTCTCTCTCTCTCTCTCTCTCTCTCTCTCTCTCTCTCTCTATCTCTCTCTCTCTCTCTCTCGCTCTCTCTCTCTCTCTAATGGTCCGTATATTGATAGGTCAGAAAGGTACACACATGCCAGATTGCACAAACAAAAACTAGACGGGTCCACAGAGCAAAACCACCACACCCTCTACAGCTCAAGGAGAGGCTCCACCACCGCAAAACAGTCCCCTAGGTGTAACTCCTGCCCTATTCCTCCTACGGGAGGGTTCTCTGCTGCAGCCGCCTCACCCAACTTGAGTAGGAGCCCCACGGATTGGGCCCTCTGAAGGGCCACCGACCACCTCTGCCTGAATTGGTGCAGAAACTTGGCGGCATAGTAAGATTTTGAGTCGGCGTTGAAGTGGCGCCGAGCCGCTGTGTCTGCCAGGAGCTTGAGGAAGACAGGTACCTCGGCGCATGGGCAGCCGTAGGTGTCTACTGCCAGTGGGAAGAAGCCAACCGTCTCCGGGCGGTTGGCGTAATGCTTGATTTTCTTATCGGCTTGTTCACGTGCCGCCCATCCCCTGCCCTTTTGTGCTTCCGGGTCCCTAGTGGTGATAGGGTCAGTGATGGTAACGTCGCAGATGTAAACCGTTCCACTGCTTCTATCGGTCATGGTGAAGTCGGCCGTTTGCTCCTCGATAGGGCAGTAGGCGGCCGACTCCCTGTGTACTATAAACCCCGCATCTTGCGCCATGCTAACGCAGGCGTCCCGCAGCTCGTTGTGCGTGTTCGTGCGGTGCTTGCCTGTGCCGCAGCGGAGCAGGTGGTTCGGGAGGCGGGGGTCAGTGATAGCCGTGTGGTCCGCGCAGTCGCAGTTCTTGGGAGTTGAAAACGGTAGGCCAAGTCGGAAGCGGACCGCGTTGGCGAAGTGCACTGGCCCTATCCGCCTTACGGGAGCGATGGGGATCGCGGTGAGCCAGTCGCCTGTGCCGTAGCCAGTCAGTGAAAACATCCGCTGCGTGTGACCTGCAAGCGGATTCGGCTTCATGTGCCTCGTTGCCTGCACCTGCTTTGCGTATCTGCTCCCGTGGACCTTGAGTCCTAGCACGTGTTGGAGCCGAATGTCAGAATGCTCAAGCCGCTCCTTCTCCAGTATCTCCCGCGCATCTAGCGGCAGCGCCTCCTCGCACTCGGTCAGCCATGTGTGTAGTGGTGTGTTGTCGACCCGCAGCAGTAGCATATGGTTCCGTGCTAGAGTGAGAGCGTTCCTCTTCCAGCGGTAGGCAGCTTAGATAGAGCGCCGCCTGGGTAAAGCTGGCTGCGAAACCGTAAATCCCCTCAACTAGGGGGTCTGTGATGCCCAGTCCTCCTAACGATGGCGGCAGCGACGCCTGTTCCCAAACCCGCGATTGTTCAGTTTGACAAGTCGGAACTTTGATATCGCATGATGTGAGGAGCGTGGCGAGCAGATCCCTGCCCCACTGGCTCCATTTATCATGGGGGAGGAGATGGAGTGGTGTCGTCCTGGTGAGGTATGCAACTCGTCGCGAGATGCATCGCGTGAGTAGCAGTGCTGCTACCTAGGGGTCTGCTCGCTCGAGCAGGGGTAGGGGTTTTGACATCTCGGCGAGTTGTCCCGCTAGGAACTGAGCGGCGCCGCTATCCGGCCCCACGAAACTACCTAGTAAGCGCACGTCGTCCTTAGTGAACGGCACTCCTGGCGGAAGGCAGGCTGTGTCGATTGCGCTTGAGCTCCAGGCAGCACACTTTTGAGGGTTATGCTCGAGGCCCAGGTGCGCCAACTTAGCCGTGAAGTATGTGAATGTAGCTACAGTGCGGGCTGTGTCACCCAGGAAGGTGACATCGTCCGCATATGCCAAGCACAGCACGTCAGGGTGTGCCTCGGCTGTTTCGCGAAGTGTGGCGTGTATCCCTGCTGCAAACAGTAGCGGCCCAAGTGGGTCTGCTTGGCGCACGCCGCGTTCACTTGTTAGTGGTGCGCTGTTGAAATTGGAGTCCAGTAGCAGTTGCGACGGGTTACCGTATGTCAGTTTCACGAGCGGCAGTAGTGGCGAGAGGGTGGGTTCGTGTAACGCGTCGGCGATGGCGGCCCGCGAAATGCTGTTGAACGCGTTTGAAATGTCGGCTTGCAGTACCAGGCTGTCCGGGCGGGCATCCGAAAAAGCCCTGGCTGCGTGGATTACTGCCTCTGCTCCACCTGGTACTGCCACCCCGTACTGTAGCGGTAGGAAAAAAACCCTAAACCCTACAGGGCAGCCTTGGCTGCCAGCCTCGTTAGGCATTCGCCAATTGCGATTGGCCTCGCCCCTCCCCCCGGCTTGGCGAGGGCTATGAGTCGCGACGCCGTCAACAGGTTTGCAACCGAGCCTGGCAATTTTCCTCCCAGCATAGTGTTGACCAAGGCGTGCAGATGGGTGCTGACCATTCCGTTGGTGATCGCCACATCGCGCAGGTGCTCGAATGTCATCCCGAATGGTCCGGCTCCGACCCCATTCTCGCATCTTCCCAACATTTTTGCGAAGTCAGGGTGGGGGATTGACAGTTTTGACCCTTGTGGCTCGGGCCACGTCACCGCCTCGTCCGCGGTGGGTGGGTGCTTTTGGCGCAGCTCCTCCAATATTTCCGGGCTGGGTGTGCAGACGGGCGTTGACTCGAGGGCCAGCACGGCTCGGCGCAGACTGCCACGTTTTGCTAGGCTCTCCGCACGGTTGATGACACCAGTCACATCCGGCTGATGTCGTGGCGGGGGCGGTGTGTTGACTGCGTTCAACGCGTCCTGGTACAACTGATCCCATTCGCCACGCTGGAAAGCTCGGAGCCGACCTTTGACACTTGGCCAGTTCGGGCGTTGTGGCGAGGTCTGGCGAAGTGTCAGGCGTGGGAGAAACAGCAGCAGGCGCCAACCCGTCTCCGAATCAGGGTTTCGTGATAGGTGGTGTAACGGTGTCAGTAGCGCAAGCGAAAAGAGGTGACATAGGTTTGGCGGTAAACGCCGCGACAGTGGAGGCTGACGACTGTCGCATAGTGCTGCAATATCCCAATTCGCGATGCCTGCGAACAGGTCTGTCGGCTTCGCGAGCTCGTCTGGTGAAAAGTAGCGGGGAATTGATGCTGATGGGCGCGCCGCGGTACAGGCATTGGCGGTTCGATTTCTCCCGGCGCGGCTCGAACTTATTGGTGTGCTTGAGGTTGGATTTGCACCCGTTTGATCGACATCGGACAGTGGTTGAGCCATCTGTGACACTTGCAAGTCCGCCTGCTGCACTACCTCTTCCCTTCTCCTTGGTCTTTCTCTCGCCATGCCTTCCCCCCTCCGTCTCCTCATTCTCGCTCTCGGGGAGGGCTTCTTCCCTATAAGATGGGTCGTCCCCCTCGTCTTCGTCATTAGTTTCCTCTACGTTGTTTAAAGCCCTTCGCGCCGTCGCCTGATACCCATTCTCTGGTCCTCCGCCTGTTTCGCTTGCGGTTTCTCTCCTCGCCCCACGGCTTCCTTGCTCTAGGGATGGTGATTGCCGGAGCACCTGAGCCGTTGCCAGAGCTCGTTGCCGCCTGGTCGGCTGTGGTCGCCAAGCCTCCGGCGGAGCCCGAAAGGGCGACCATGGCGACGAAGCCCCCTCTACCGCCGGCTCCGAAACCCGTGACAGCAGTCTCTGAAAAGACTCCTCCCCACACACCCGCGGCTCCCCTTGCCGGGTCAGAGGCTGGCCCGTCCGCTCCCGCTGCTATTCCGTCTGCTCCACCTGCGGCACCAGGCCCCCTGGCTCCCCTTGTCGAGCCGTCGGCGTCTGCCCCTGCTGGGGGTGTTGCTGAACCCCCTGCACCTGTCCCTGGCGCCCTTGTTGCGCCGAACGCTTCTGCCCCCTGCTTGCCTGCGCCGGCCTCTGCTTCGCCACCAAAGGCGGCGTCCGCCACCACTGGCGAACCGGATCCGTCGGTTGCGCCTGCGACGGCGAATCAGTCCGCCCCCGCTGTGATGGCGGTGGCTCCTGCAGGCCAGCCGTCACGCCCTCCGTCGCCTGACCGTCGCTCGTCGCGCCCCCATTCCCCCGCTCCCCACCAGGACCGCAAGTCGTCTCGTCGCCGGCGTGAGTCTCCACGGCGTTACCAGCAACAGTCGCACTGGCCTGCTCACCCCGGGGGTCAAGGGGATTGGAGGGGTCCCCATGCTCGTGGCGGGGGTGGGGGGTATCGCCCGCCCGTGACGATGGCGGATCTTCAGCGGGAAGTGTCGAGGGCGGTTCAGGAGGAGAGGGCGGCGCAGAGCCAGAGCAGTTCGCTGCGCGCCTTGCCAGCCCACGAGGTTCCCCGTCCGGCTGCGCTCCCCCCGAACCCGCAGCCTGTTCCTGCGCCTCCCCCTCAGATCCAAGCGCCACCAGCTCCTTCTCCCGCTGTATCGGTGCCTGCTCCCGGCTCTCGTCTCCATCTGCCGCCGGTTCCACCTGTTGCGGGAGTGGAGTTTGTGGCCGCGGGTGGCGGCTCGTTGGCGGCTCCGTTCGCTCTCCCAGCTGATGCTGATGAGCCGCTCCAGTTCCTGGCGGAGGCACTCCAGCCCGTGTTCCCGAGGCGACTCTCGGACAGCTACACCGCCTCGCTGACAGTCTCCACGCTCTGCTGCTGATTCAGGTGCTGGCCCACTCGTCTCTCCCTGTGATCCCTCCTGAGACCTTCCGTGGCCGCCAGCGGGACTCTTGCCTGGACGCGGCGGACCAGCTCGCGGTGCTGCTGGCGCCCGTGCTGGCTGCGCCCGTGGAGGGTGGCGCTGCTGCTGCGGGACAGCTTGACGAAGCCGTCCGGGGCTTGAGGCGGCACTTGCGCGGAGGATCTGGAGCCGCGGCGATCGGCGCAAGCACGCTAGTGGTCCGGGAGCTGTGGCGCTCCCTGACGGGCGTTCTTCATGCCCTTGGAGCTCACCGCATGTAGATGCGGGCTCCGATTGCCCCATGTTTGATTTGCTTGTCTAGGTTGCCGTAGGAAGAGCCATGCTTGTAAGCCGTTGTTTAAGAGCAACTATGAGTATTGCCACTTGCCGTCCCCTCAAGCGCGGCCTTCGGCCGCGCTGTCGAGCGTCGGCCGCCGAAGGCGGCCGGCGTGAGCAAAATCTTCTGCACCAGCCGAACAATGAGGTGAAGGGGCCCAGAGGGGCCTCTTATATAGCTCACAATGAGAGGGCAGAGGGCTAAGGGGAGAGGGCAGAGGCTAGAATCCTCTCTCTCTCTCTCTCTCTCTCTCTCTCTCTCTCTCTCTCTCTCTCTCTCTCTCTCTCTCTCTCTCTCTCTCTCTCTCTCAAACGAGCCGCCAGTGTTTGGAGTGAGAATGGACTCAACACCTGCGTGGTTGAGCTGTACGCTGGCACGTTGGCAGCTCAGAGGCTCTCCTTGCTGAGCTGGGTCACTCTCAGCCCTCTGTGACGCTTGCTTGTGACAGTGTTGTCAAACATTATATATGTTGTGTTAGTTTAGGCTACAGTGGGTTAGCCTATAGGGGGTACACAATTCTAGGGTTAGGTACTTGTACTCTTTTCATTGCTAGTTCATTCATTCCTCTTCAGTGATTCCAACATGGTATAGAGCAGGTCCTTCCTAGGACCGAAATTTTCTAAGGGCCCACCACTACGTAACTACCTACCTACCTACCTACCCGTGCCCTAGGGCGCCTCGGCGTGTCACGCCCCTAGAGGCCCCTCTTGACGGCCCCGCGCTAGCCCCGTTCAGGCCCCGTCGGCCCCTTTAAGGCCCCGTTCAGGCCCCGCGCTAGCCCCGTTTAGGCCCCGTCGGCCCCGTTTCAGGCCCCGTCGGCCCCACGCTAGCCCCCCTCAGGCCCCGTCGGCCCCTTTTCAGGCCCCGTCGGCCCCGCGCTAGCCCCTCTCAGGCCCCGTCGGCCCGCGCTAGCCCCGTTTCAGGCCCCGTCGGCCCCGTTTCAGGCCCCGTCGGCCCCGCGCTAGCCCCTCTCAGGCCCCGTCGGCCCGCGCTAGCCCCGTTTCAGGCCCCGTCGGCCCGCGCTAGCCCCGTCTCAGGCCCCGTAGGCCCCGCGCTAGCCCCTCTCAGGCCCCGTCGGCCCCGCGCTAGCCCCATTCAGGCCCCGATCGGGCCCGCGCTAGCCCCGTTTCAGGCCCCTTTGGCCCCGTCGGCCCCGCGCTAGCCCCGTTCAGGCCCCGTCGGCCCCTTGCTAGCCCCGTCAAGGCCCCGTTTGGCCCCGCGCTAGCCCCGCTCAGGCCCCGATCGGCCCCGCGCTCGCCCCTCTAGGGCCCCAACCGGCCCCGTGCCTACCTCGCCGACCCGTGCCCACCACCCAGAGGCCCCGGGCGGCCCGTTCCCGCCGCAGCACAAGAGGGAAAGCGGGCGGCCCGTCCCCGCCGTGACCTGAGCCGAGCCGCGCGCCCCGAGCCGAGCCGCGCCACCCAGCCGAGCCGCGACCCGACCTGAACCGAGCCGCGCCGCCCTGCCCTACCTGGTTCGTCCTACCTGCTTCTCCTACCGCTACTGCTGCTATTTCTACTGTTCCTATGGCTAGCCCACAGGTTCTCGTGTTCGATGCTGAGGGCCGCCCTGTGAAGTTTGACACCTGGCTCGATGACCTGCACCTCTACCTACAGCTCACAGCCAAGGATGACATCTCACTGTACGATCACGCCCTAGGCCTTGTCACTGCCCCTGCTGCTACTGCTGACAGCACTGCTCGCTCACAGTGGCAGACTCGTGATGCCCACGCTCGCTTCGCCATTCGCAACTCCCTGCCGATAGACGAACGCGAGCACTTTGGTCAGCACAAGACTGCACCGGCACTGTACACAGCTGTAGTTGCTCGCTACTCCTCACCTGCCTCTGCCGCACTAGGCCGTCTCTCCCTCCCCTACCTGTTTCCCGACCTGGCCTCCTTTCACACAGTCGCTGACCTCATCACGCACCTCCGTACTAGTGAGGCCCGCTTCCGTGCCGCCATGCCTGCTGAGTTCCTTGCCACGCACCCCCCTCCACTCTGGCTCACTCTCTATCACCTAGTCACCCGCCTCCCTGACACACTGCGTGCTGTCAGGGACCACTTCCTAGCTCGTTGCCCCACTGAGCTCACCATTGCCCTCCTCGAGAAGGAGCTACTTGCAGCTGAGGCTAGCATAGTCGCTGTAGGTGCCTCTCGTGGCGACCCCCGTACCCCGTTCTTTGAGGGGTGTTCTCCTTCCCCCCTTCTTCCCTCTGTCGCCTCTGCTGCTGCTGTCGACCTTCTTGGTACTGAGAAGGTCGGCACTGCGTCTGCCTCGAGCGGACGCCGCAGCGGCAAGGGCAAAGGGGGCAAGGGTAGTGGCGGTGACGGCGGGGGAGGCGGCGGTGGGGGCGGTGGAGGCAGTGGGGGTGGTGGCTCGGCTGGAGGGGCGAGTGGTAGCGGTGGGGGTGGTGGCGGCAGCGGCGGGGGAGGTGGCAGGAGTGGAGGCGGCGGTTGGGGTGGCGGTGGACGAGGCGGCGGCAGGGGTTGGGGTGGTCGAGGAGGTGGCAGCGGTGGTGGTGGCCGTGGAGGCGCTGGCGGTGGCCAGGGCCAGCAGCACACTCTCTCGCCCCAGGAGGTCCGTGAGTGGTACTCTCAGCACGGGGGTGGGGGTGGTCTTAGCTGCACGTACGTCATTCGCACTGGTGACCGCACTGGTCAGCAGTGTGGACGACCGCACGCCACACAGCGCTGCTTCTCTCGTCTCGACGACGCTTGGCGTGTTCAGTTCCCTCAGGCCACTGAGCTGCCCCGCTGGCTTGATCTCCTGAAGAAGGGGATTAATATCTATGCTCTAGACTTTGACGCTATTCTATCTGCCATGTATGTGATGTCTACTAGTGGAGAGGGTGCTGAGTACTTGTGTGTGCCGCCCGACCCGGGCATTAGGGCCAGTGCGTCTGCCGCTCCAGGTACTCACGTGTCGGCTACCCCAGGTGCTGGTGAGGCTGCTGCTCTAGGTGCTCGTGTGTCTCCCCCCCTTGGTACTGCGTCGACTGCCGCACTGCACACCTTCACACTGGACTCAGGTGCTTCTCGCTGCTTCTTTCGTGACCGCACTGCCCTTGAGCCGCTTGCTCGACCAGTTGCTGTCTCCCTTGCTGACCCCTCTGGGGGTCCGGTCATTGCGACCTCTTCCACTGTCCTTCCCTGCCCTGCGGTCCCGTCGGGCACACTGTCAGGTCTCCACCTCCCCTCGTTCTCTACGAACTTGGTGGCAGGCTGTGCACTCCAGGACGGGGGTGTTCACCAGTTCACCCCTGCCTACGAGCGCGTGACACACTGCACGTGTGCTCGTACGGGCCGTCACTTGGCTACCTTCACTCGGCAGCCGGGGTCGGACCTGTACACACTGACTACTGAGTCCCCTCAGGTTGCTGCGACTGCGTCCGCGTCCGCGTCAGGTCAGCTGTCCGCCCCCTGCTCGTGTCGCTCTTTGGCACACGAGACTGTCCTCTGGCACCACCGCCTTGGCCACCCGTCTGTGCAGCGGCTTCGTGCCATGCACTCCAGGTACCTTGTCTCTGGCCTGCCCAGGGTCCTTCCTCCTCTCCCACCCTCGCCTGCTCCTACCTGTCTCCCCTGTGTCGAGGGACGGCAGCGCGCCGCTCCTCACTCCTCCTCGTTCCCCCCGACGACTGCTCCCTTGCAGACACTCCACATGGACGTGTGGGGCCCAGCCCGCGTCCGTGGTCAGGGTCAGGAGAGGTACTTCCTGATAGTTGTTGACGACTACTCGCGCTACACCTCGGTCTTCCCCTTGCGCACCAAGGGTGAGGTCCCTGATGTCTTGATCCCTTGGATCCGCAGAGCCCGTCTCCAGCTCAGCGAGCGTTTTCACTCGGACTTTCCTGTCCTGCGCTTGCACTCTGACAGAGGTGGTGAGTTCTCCTCCGACCTCTTGGCAGCCTACTGTGCTGAGCACGGCATTGAGCAGTCGTTCACGCTTCCGGCTTCTCCACAGCAGAATGGGGTTGCGGAGCGCCGCATTGGCCTGGTCATGGAGGTCGCCCGTACCTCCTTGATCCATGCGGCTGCCCCCCACTTTCTGTGGCCGTTTGCGGTCCGGTACGCTGCGCATCAGCTCAACCTCTGGCCCCGTGTCTCCTTGCCGGAGACCTCGCCCACGCTACTGTGGACGGGGGAGGTTGGCGATGCGTCGCGTTTCCGGGTCTGGGGGTCTCGAGCTTTTGTCCGCGATTCGTCTGCGGACAAGCTCTCCTCCCGTGCTGTTCCCTGCGTCTTCCTCGGCTTTGTCCCGGACGCGTCTGGTTGGCAGTTTTACCACGCCACCTCGCGCCGAGTCTTGCCCTCCCAGGACGTCACTTTTGACGAGTCCGTCCCCTACTACCGCCTCTTCCCCTACCGCACTGCCCCGCTCCCCCCCCCCGCCTCTCTTCCTCTCGCCAGGTGCTGCTGTTGCAGACCCCCTCCCCCCTCAGGGTGCCGCTCCCTCAGGTGTGTCTCAGGTAGACCCGGTTGAGCCTGTTGAGGTAGCTGTCGACTCTCGTCCTGCTGGGGTGCTGAGCCTGGGGGTGCTGAGCCTGGGGGTGTGGAGCCTGGGGGTGTGGAGCCTGGGGGTGTGGAGCCTGGGGGTGTGGAGCCTGGGGGTGTGGAGCCTGGGGGTGTGGAGCTTGAGGGTGCTGAGCTTGGGGGTGTGGAGCCTCGTGGTACTGAGCTGCGGAGTCCGGAGTCTGGGGGTTCTGCGTCTGGAGGTACGAGGTCTGGGAGTCCTGCACCTGGAGGAGCCCTCTCCTCGGAGCAGCTACGTGCGTGGTACTTAGAGTACTGCAGCCTCCGGAGAGGTACCACTCGAGCCGGACGTACTACTGGGACTGGTGCTAGTACTTCTTCTCCCGTTCGGGAGCTCCCCTCCCGCGAGCGGATCCGTGAGTGGTACGAGCGGCGCTGCACTCTTCGGAGTGGCGTGCCTCGTGTTACGA